CAACAAAGCATGAGAATATGTGTCTCAAGGCTGAGGAGTTCGAAAGCAAGTACAAGAGCGAGCTAATTCTCACGGAAGCTCTTATGAAAGAAAAACAAGAGATCACAACAAAGGATGAGAATATGTATCTCATGGCTGAGAAGCTCGAGAGCGAGCTAAATCTCACGAAAGTTCTTCTTATCAAAGCAAAACAAGAGCTTGAGATATCTTACAGTACTAAAGATGCAGATGCGATGCGAAAGGAGAGGGACAATGCTATCAAATTTGTCAATGAGATCACAACAAAAAAGCAAGTAGCATTATTTATTTGCCCTATCTCACAGGCAAGTCCTTATAATCTTGATATCCTTACAAGGAGATTACTTGCACAACTCTCAATCTTGTATACTAGTAATATACATGTATGTTTAACGTTTGTGTGGTTTTATATATTCGCAGGAAGTGATGAAAGATCCACATGTGACAAGCGATGGATTCACGTACGAAGCAGAATCTATTAGGGCATGGTTTAGCACAGGTAAACATACATCACCAATGACAAATCTCAAGCTTTCTCACACCAATCTTGTCCCTAACCGGGCTCTCCGTTCAGCGATTCAGGAATTGGTTTGATTCTTCTTGCTTTTCGATCCGGTTTAGTCTGTTTAAAATTTGATCTTGGGCCTTCTATAATGGCCTTTAACTCTTCTTCCTTATTGATGAGTCTTGGCTTGAGTTTGTGATCCAGTTTATGTAGCTACTTTTAAACCTCGTTACCAGGTCATACGTGGCTCGGTTTGGACCGTGTTTTCTTTTCCTAAATATCCTAAAATAGAAAAAAAAAAAATCATTTTTGCTGACGTAAGGCCATCTTTATCCATGAACTTTTGAAGGTATCATTAAATATAAAATTATTAAAAACACACTCTCTCTTCCTTTTACTTAACTTTATACCTTTTTTTCATCTTTTTACTCAACTTTTATTAATTTTATACTCTCTTTAAATATAAAATTATTAAAAACACACT